TCCTCTCTCACTCTCTCACTCTCTCACTCTCTCACTCTCTCACTCTCGCACTCTCTCACTCTCTCACTGTCTTTCACTGGGCAAGACTACAGGTCGTGCAACTAGCTCGGAGGTCCCTACAGTTTGTGATGTCTGCAGACTAATCTTTCTATATTTCAGGCATGCCTTAAACGTTTTGGAACATTGAACTTCGAAGCAAAAAGTGGCGGACTCTCAAAGTTTCAGGAAAGTCCCCACACGCACCAGGAGCACATGCCTAACATACCTAATGTCTAACCTCCTGTGTTTTATACTTGATCATAGCAACAGCTCTGGGCCCTACGAGGACTCATTGGATGCAATACTGTCTAGCAGTTTGGTTGTTAATGTTTTTGTTCGCTGGTTTCGCTTGTTTCTTTGCTCCTTTGTTCATGCCTTCGTTATCGTTCATCCATTCACAAGTGAATAAAATGATGAGTGAATGAAAGTTATGAACGGGTGTGGATGTATGACAGAGAGGAGGAGGAGGAGCAGCAGCAGCAGAAGCAGTAGCAGCAGCATAGCAGAAGCAGAAGCAGAAGCAGAAGCAGAAGCACAATCAGAAGCACAATCAGAAGCACGATCAGAAGCACAAGCACAAGCACAAGCACAAGCAGAACACTAGAATGATATTTGCTTGGAAAATGCAAAACGTTCACAGTGAGATTTTGTGCCCATGAAATTCGAAGGCCATCAGACAAACAGACCGCTGTGACAACCCCTTGTCTAAGCAGAGTCGCAGAGGTGCTTTATCTCATGCTGCGCTGTCTTTAGATTTTATCCTGCTGTGGAGTCACGGCAGGGTTCAAAGCAGAGTAACTGTGGAATCGCAGCAGACAAGCAACATGGAACATGGGGATCTACCCAATCAGTCATGTAGAGTTACATCGTTGGCTTGTTTCTTATGTGCCCGTATTGTGATTTGATGCCATGTTTGTGCAGGAGGATGGAAAGCAACCTCATCGATTCTATGAGATAGACTTCCTAGAGGTGAGTGAATTGCTGGTGTCACGACTGCCAGCCTGGCTATCAGGGTATCTTTCAGCCTGATGAACCTTCTTCTACTGCCCCCGCCAGTCAATCACTGCTCCGTCAGGGTAACTTTCAGGGTAACTTCCAGGCTGGCTATCAGGGTAAGTTTCAGCCTGATGAACATTCTTTTACTGCTTCAGCCATTCAATCACTGCTCCCTCAGGGTAACTTTCCAGCCTGGCTATCAGGGTAACTTTCAGCCTGATGAACATTCTTTTACTGCTTCAGCCATCCTTGGTCTGTCTGTTTGTCACGGACCTGTTCCCTCTCATTGTTGCCTGAAGTCTTAACCACGTGAAACAGGCACTGTTAATGGACTTTTCATTCTACGCCCCAACTTTGCAATCGCACCGAAGGTTTGGCCTTTTGATGATATTGTACTGGACAGTTTTGGTTGGTCAATGAACTCTATTTCCAATGAGACTGATGCGCCTGCCAAGTTTGCACCCTGTTATCCGTGGGCAGAGTGTTTGTAACAGAGTGAACCTGCTACTGTCTTCACCCGAATAGAGCGCCCGGTCATTGTAGCCGTATTTGGCGCACTTTTCAGTCCATGTACAGCTATAATGACCGGGCGTCCTAGTTGGGCGGAGACGGTAGTTCAACTTTGCCACACTTCTCGTCTTCCCAGGGCTAAGGTCCCGTTTTCACGGATTAAGACAGACATTCTGGCTGTTGATCTTCGTAAGCTATGGACATCATCTCCTTATCTTGTGCTAGTGGGAAGTCGGGAACCCACCTCAGGTGCTCTTATCCCAACATGTTGTATGGGGTGAAATGAACAGCTTGGCGGCATGAAACATCAGATGAAAAATTCAGAAAAAGAAGAAATTTAAAGAAAAGTATTTCGTGTACCTCTTGTGTTGTTGATTTCCTTCTATGAAATGTAATGCTGCAGGTCACTTCCAGAAAAGCTGGAATAATCGGTGCCACGGATGCTCTCAGGAGTAAGCTTGGCGGAAATGCGGTCATCTCTAAAGGTGAGGCATAGCTTTTTCAATTTTGAAATAGAGTTTCCTGTCGTATCCAAAGCTTAGGCATTATGTACACTTTTGAAATCGAGTCTTAACTTTCTCACGGAGGGGGGATGACAGCACATACACACACATCCTGACGTTCACAGCTATTCAAGCATGGCATGTCAAGGCAAAAACGTCATATTGGGCAAGTAATGAAGAGGGGCGGAGGGGGGATGAGTGCAAGACCATGGGCCGCAGTTTTTGCGGCACAGACTGGCGGTGACCATCCCTTCGTAGTGTTCAGAGCCGAGACCATGCTGTATGCATGCTAACCAAACTGTAGCTGTGGCATGGCGCAGCCACTATCCTCTGGAGAGGCCCCTTCACTATCCATGGTAGAATCTGTCCGATCTGCATAGGTAAGGGATGTCAGCTGGTCATGTACAGGGGAGGAGGGAGGTTCAGCTGGATTGCTCACCGGAGGCTGTAGAGCTTGCGAGTGCACATCCACATACTGTTCCTGATTGACCAGCCAGACTGAGCCGGATTCTACCACCCGGTAGGGTGCACATGGTAGGAAATATTAACTCTTTCTCTCACCGGATGGTGTGGTGAATATGACAACACAATGTGCGCGCGCGCGTGCAAGAGAGAGACACAGAGAGAGAGAGAGAGAGAGAGAGAGAGAGAGAGAGAGAGAGAGAGAGAGAGAGAGAGAGAGAGAGAGGGAGAGAGAGAGAGAGAGAGAGAGAGGTGGGGGGACAGGTAGGTGGAAGGGCGGATGGATGGGAAGGGCCTTCAGAAGGAACGAAGGTGCAGTAAAAGAACGTAAGCACTCAGATGCCCGCAATCTGTTCCTTGGATACTCTGCAGTTCGAGTAGTGGTGTTTGCCTCCCTCTATTGGGGGGTCTGTGACATGCACTGCCCAAGAATAGGTCAGCAAAAGAACAAGGGGTGAAAAATGATAGCAATCGTTGCTGAAGTACAGCATCATCTCCTGTGTGCCTTGTGCCTATTAGCGGCCAGAAACCACCAATACAGGGAGGCAGTTAGATGGGTTTTGTTTGTGTCGAAGTGCATTATTTCCTACACAGAATCTATAGAGAGAAAATGTATGGTTCAAAGAAGGCACCCCAAGTGGCTGACTGACATAACTCTGACCAGGTCCCTTTCTATCAGAATACCCAGAGGCAGGACAACTTGAACCCCGCCGGCGTGTAGGAATGTTTGAAAATTCTTAGAATTAATGACTACATTGCTGTCTGCACAAATATAGACCGTAAGGAATTCAAGAACATTGCAACTCAGAGGTTTCTTGGCTCCCAGTGGAAGAGGAAACCAGGTTTCCTGGTAGCAAAAGAACAGGCAACCAATGACAGATTGCATCAGTAGAGAGCATACAGTTGGAAGTAGCGAGTTAAGAATAGTACAACAGGGGTGCAGCAGAGGTAAATCCTTCCGCCAAAGGAAATAATCGATGCTGCTGTCTCAGGGTCCTTTGGCCAGAATGGAAGGAAGCGTGTTGCGAGCACTGATAAATTGACTTTGACTCATAATTAAAACAGAAGGGAAAAAAAAACAAGGAAAGAAGATCTGTTTGTTGGTCTGTTTGGCCTCAGATATGGGAAGAGGGTTGAGAACAATTTAGTGAAGGCAACAGCAGGCATATGTTGTTGGGTGGCTGTGGATTATTGAGGCTGACTGATGTCTTCAGCATCCTTGCAATGCAATGTATTAATTCTCCCCGGGTTTGCTTTGGGGGGCTTGGATCTCTCTTTGCAGAACAGGGAGAGGTTACCAGTAACGATTACTGCCTGCTGCCGGCTGATCTAAGAGACCTCACAGCTTTGAACAAGGTCCTCGATAACGCAGGGTTTGACCCAAGGTGAGACATGGAAGTTTGGTTGCCACTTTCAGAATTGAAAATAAACTGTGGTTTGAAATGGGGAGTAAATGCGTTCACATACATATTTAAGTAATTGAGCACGAAATGAACTCAGCCTTCGATGTGGGAAAAAAAGAAATGCAAGAAAGGTTCACAACTTCACATGCCATAGCTCAGCTGGCTGGCACCTAAAGTGGATGGTCATGCGCTCGAGGGGGAGGAGTTGAATTTGCTTGGGCTGCCGGTCTTGGGAACACCTGGTAGTGATAGAGGTAGGACCCCAAATAGCCCTTTGAAGCGGTAGCGCTTCTGTTTTCTTCGTGGGACCTGAACTTAGAACTGTCTAGAGGAACTTTCAGGTCTTATAAGTGAAATAAATTGGGCATTGGGGCATCGCCCCAATAGTGAGCAAGCTTGTCTCATAAGGGGGAGAAAGGAGCTCTTTTGTTAAAAAAAGAAAAAAAAAGGGAGCTCTTTGTAACTGACCATTTTGCAGCTGCATGGGATTATTGAACTATTTCGAGTTGCCTGTTGTGCCCAGCGGCTTAGTTTTCAGGGATAATTGCATCTGTGCCCCACTTAAAGATGGGAATACCCGCTATACCCAGTGGAGCACCCAACTTGCATCTATACCCAGACCGAGTCCAACTTAAGGTAATACCCCACTTTTCCTGTGTGCCGACTTATACGCGTACCCGGTCCCACAGGCCCTTGGTTGGGGAGCACAAAATTATGCTTATGCCCAGGAACCGGTATGCACATAATTTGCCTGGGTATGTACATAATTAGCGTTCTGGTAGTTGGGTATAACTGCAATTTGGCGGTACCAACCTTGGCCCTGGTATACAAATAATTTGCACAGACAATTTTCCGGGTAATGATGCAAGTTGGATACTGGGGCTGGGTATAGCGGGTATTCCCATCTTTAAATGGGGCACAGAAATGCCACAGATGCAATTTTCCCTTTTTTTTTAATTGTTAATCACACTAATAATCAGTGAACGCGAATGAGAGTTTTTGGAGGAATTTCCGGAGCAGCTCAAACCGGCTCCAGTTTGGTGAATGCTGTTTTATTGCTCGCTGTTTCCTTGTTCATTGAGACAGCCGGCCGATCTCAGTCATGTTTCAGGCTAAGAAACTTTAGGGTTGGTCCATGAAGGTGTGGTCATCATGCTGGTACATGGAGCCCCCAATTACCAAAAAAATTGTGTACCAAGGTTCAAGAACGAAGAAGAGGAAAAAAGAGACCCACAGTAGTAGAGTCAACATGTTGAAGAGAAAAAAGTTACAGGTAACTGCAGAGCTCCTGAAGATTGTGGATCCCCAAATAGAAAGCAGGGTCATTATAGAAGTAATAAAGATTGTGGATCCCCCATTATAGAGGTAACTGCAGAGCTCCTAAAGAATTCCAGATAGTCATGAACCAAGGACAGAGTGCAATGCACCAAGATACCGTCCAAATAAGAGCAATACAATGAACTCAAATGTCAATGTCGCCACTCTCTGGTCACACCAACACTTTATCCAATGTCGCACTTACTGTCTGGCACCCAGCCTATCCTACTCAGCCTATCTAGCCTATCTACGTTCTTGCAACTGGATCACTCTGAAGTCGAAGACCAATGTAAGTTCTCCTCCCGTCATCACTGCTGGTCTTCCCACAGCATGCGCCTCCTACCCGAAGACCACCTTTGCCGTCACCTGTGTTGCGCCCCTGCAGCCCGGCTATGGCTGCTGTGTGCCTGCTGACCTTGCAGCGCCCCTCACCTCTGCGCCTGTGCGTGCATCCGACCAGCAGGCCCATGCAGATGCTAGCGCAGCACCGCAGCAGCGTGTCCGCATTGCCTGCCAAGGCCAGAATGCCACTGCCAGGGGCTCACACTTTCCTTTATGGAAAGTGTGTTGCTGCTGGCTGTCCTTGCCAGGCGTGTGGGGGCCCAGTAGCTTCAGTTGGGGCCCAAGTGTCTGCGCCCAGGCCCAGTTTCCAAAACTGGTCTGAGCCTCATGCAGTTAGGCACGCTCAGGCAGCCACCCAGCCTCCAAGTGTTTGCAACATTCTCATTGGCTCACGGCACATGCGTGACGACGATGCTGCTTCCTCATTGGCCCGTAACCAGTCCGTGATGTGTCGGCCTCACACAGCGTGTGCCCAGAGCGCAACCGCCTGAACCCTGGGCTCAACTGTACAGCGCAGCCCCTTTGGTTTTTTGGAAAGAGCCTGGAGGCTCGTGTTGTGCTGTAACCAACTGACGTGCTGCAACTGTCTGAGTACCCACATATGGAAAAATTGTTGAGAACAGGCCTCACGTGGATATTCAGGCCCGACTTCACTTAGGGCGGGCACGAGGCTTGCTGGAGGCCACAGCCCAGAGCACTTGTATGTTTGATAAGGGCTCTGCGAGGCTCATTCCTCACATTTACTTGCTTCTTTATTTATCTTAGCATTCGTGCTCTGGAGTGGAAGACTCCACTCATCATACAGGTTTGACGAGTCATTTGTATTCGTAGATACAGGAAGGTGTACGATGTACAGAACAGATATAGATGTATTTTTTGCGACTTTCAGTCCAGAATACAGCAATTATGACTGTGCATTCTATTCGGGAGAACACAGTAGGACTCCTGAAAACTGTGGAGCTCGCAAGATTGATAGAGCTCCTAGAAATTGTGTAGCGCTGAGGGCCAATCCCCATGTTTGTCTTTCCCTGTATTCTTGTTGCCTGGTCGCAGTTCATGCAGTGGTCTGCAGGTCCTTGCTGTTATTTCTTAGTGAGAAATGCCAACTGTCAGGTCTGATTGAAATCCTCTATAGACGTAATCATGCGTAGATACAGCCCGGTACTCAGGTCACAGTGCATCCAAGCCTCCGGGACTGGACCTGGGCTTAGATTGGTGGAAAGGTCCTCCGTCCAAAATGTCCCGTGTCAGTTATTACTCCCTGCAAATTTTGAATTGCCAGCTGGAGTCTGCCCCGTGTTTGGGTATGTGCGGTTTCTCCATGATACAGAGCCCATGTTTGGATAATTGAAGAGGGTTTCAAAATTCTGAAGCTCATCTCTGAATTGCACCAGTTCTCCAATTCTGGCATCAGCTGATCAAAGTCTTTGGTTTTTGCTGGTGCGTTTGAACGGCGTCCTTTGCTGAAATTTTGCAGCTTGCCCACTCTGGTTCTTGCGGAATGTGTTTTGATCTATCTGGATCCACAAGCTAGTCGGAGTCTCATAAAGTGGGGCGCTCAGAAACTCTCAACTGCAGTCTTCATTATTTACGAGCAGGTTTGTAATGCCGATTAGTGATGACAGCAATGGAAGGATGCATATGTGTAATTTTTCAAACGCTCATCTGTGGCAATTCCGTAGCTGCTTGTTCATGGAAGGTAGTCCTTGATGGAACTGCGGCTTCCCAGACAACCGTCTTCTTCCACCGAACACACAGCACCCCGATCTTGAATGTGTACAATCTACTTTTCCGGCGTGATGCAGTCATGATTAGGGTGCGTTGTGTTAGAGGAAGATAGTAGACCACAACACCACCTTTTCACACTTCGTGGTCCATATTAACACCACATTTTCAGAGTTCGTGGTCCATATTGTAAAGTGGGTTTGGTGTTTCTGTTGACTCATGTCTGTCATCCATTTGTGGGGGATTGAGTGCATGGTTCTGGCCACCTGTTTTGTGTTGCTTGGTTCTGTCTAACACACGCTGGAGTGGATTGAGAATTTGAGATCCTGGTGGATTAGATCCCAGGCAAAGTGTCTAAGCATTCCTTGTTCTTTGCGTGTGAAGGTTGGAATGTGATTGTCAATATGTCACGCCTCCTCGCTCCCATGTGGCAGCCGCAGTTGCATGCTGATTGGTGTCATGGGCTATCAGTGAGTGATTGCAGGTGCCCTGGGTGGTGCTGTGATGTTTGAAGGCTTAAACATGTAATGACTGGAAGTGAAACAGTTTTCACCTTTGGCAGTAGCCGATGCAGATCCCAGGGGTCGATCCCTTGACCTCAGCTTACCTGTGTACATTATCTGCACAGTTCCCTGGAGTTGAACCCGTGACCTGCACGATAGCCAGTGGTAAGTAGGTCGCCGTAGGTTGTAGGCTGTAGGGAGATTCGAACTGTAGACCTGTAAGGTAGGAGTCCAAGTAGAGTCCAGAGGCCT